TTGAAATTCGATTTAAAATTATAAATAATTTTACAATTTTTAAATAAATTTATATTTTTGATAAAAAAAAAAATTTACCATAAATTATTATTATTATTATAATTATTTATAAATTATAAAATATTAATTTTAACGCTTCTTCAACATAAATTAGCGCAAAACTCCCTTACTCTCTCAGTAATATTTTTACAGGGTATTCAATCAAACAAACTCTATCCGCTGCCCACTTTTGCAGTTTGGCTTTGCATTACAATTGTGCACAGCTTTTAGCTGGGGCTGACAGATCCACCCAAAAAGCATTCGCCACACTCACTCTCTCGCTCTTCCTCTTGCCAACTGTGTTTTTGGCGGCTTTTCGCTTTGACACAATCAACGAACCCCCAAAACGACGATCCCCAAATGCGGCAACGGCGTCCACTCAAAGCTAATGACCGACAAAGCGTTTTGTATTATTTTCAATTTCATTTTCACTATGTGTGCTCCTCAAGACACACTCACACACACACACACACACACACACTCCATTTGGAGCGGCCTGGCCAAGCATTAAATATTATTTAGATAAGGCGAAGCGCGCTTATCAATCAGACGTCAGACGCACCGACACCGCGCACAATTTGCAGCGCAGAGAAAGGCGAGGTGGGTGGGTGGTTGTGTGGTGCGTAGCCTTTAACAGTTGACTGAGTGACATGATTTTTCCATTTTATTCATTGAAAATAACCAAAAGAAGTTAGCCGACAGTTGTTGCTTTCCGTTTAAATTTTCTGTTTAAACTAACAATTTACATATAAGCTATATATTAAGAGCCTCTCTCTCTCTCTCTCGCTCACACACTCTCTCTTCGTCTCGCTCGGCGTCTGGTTGTTTGCGCATTGAACTCTGGCGGCACATTTCCAAGAAGCCAATTGCTAAATCAACAAAAATACAAACAAACTCTGACGAGCAAAACAAAAACCTCGAAAAGTCATTACATATATCTTCTGATTGAGGCACTCATCCCGCTCCCAGCCGCTCCCCTCGCTTGCCGCTCTGCAAAATGCAGAAGCTACAAGCTAACAGCTTTTTATCTCTGCCAGAGGCGGCATTGTTTTTGGCGGCCCAGGCCAAAAGAGTTACCAAAATGCAAAAGGCATATAAAAAGTAAAGAAACCAGTTGGAACTGGTGTCCAGCACTCGGCTAGGGTTGCTCCAGCCAAGCCTTATAAGGTCGCTGGCATGCCAAGCAGTGTGCAAAGGCAAACGGCAAACGGCAAAGACAAAGGCAACGGCAACGGCAACGGCCACTTCCTGGCTAATATTACGAAAATTGCTTAAAGAGAGTTTCGCTCTGTAGGATCAGCCCGAAAAAGCAAAACAAAAAAAAACTGCACCACGGCGCGAAGACTGAAGCCTGAGCCTGTCAAGCGTCTGCCTGCTCGACTGGCTGGTCGCTTGGCTGGCAGCTTGCCTCAGCCTCAGCCTCAGCCTCAGCCGGGCTGCCATTGGAATCGCCTGTTGCCTTCTACCGTAATTCACAACAACGATAATAACAACAACTAAGCCAGAGGTAAGGCAAAAGTTGCGAAACTAGCACCACGGGCACAGTGGTAGAAAGCTGAGCAGCATTAAGTCAAAGTATAATTTTTGACAAATTGTATAATAAATTTATATATGTATAAACTATACTAAACTACTTAATGGAATCTGATAGAGACTTAAAAGTTTATAATAATAAAATTAATAATAATAATAATAGTAATAATAATAATAATAATACTAATAACAATAATAACAATAATAATAATAATAATACTAATAACAATAATAATAATAATACTAATAACAATAATAATAATAAAAATAATACTAATAACAATAACAATAATAATAATAATAATAATAATAATAAAATTAAAAACAATAATAATAATAATACAATTAAAACAATAACAATATTGCTAATAATAATATTAATAATAATAATAATAATAATAATAATAATAGTAATAGATAATAATAATTATTATTTTTTATTAAAGAATTATTTATATTTTTCAGTGAAAAATTATTTATTCAGCTTTATTCTTGGTAGTAAAAATTCTCATTAAGCAAATCCTTAAATATAAATTAATTAATTTATATCCCACTAAATTTATTTAATGTAATATTAAGAATTCATACAACTTTAGCTATGCCTTATTAAATTTTGTATTATTCAAAAGGATTTTGAATCAAATCTTTCATTTAGCTATAGGAAATTCATATATTTATATACCCCACACACATTCAGAATAGATAGATAGATTCATTGTTAACTTGTCCCAATAGCTAGATCATAGAAAAGCCATTTAAAAGAACAAGCAATCAATTGAGATCATAATCTCAATTTATACACTTTTTCACTCAATATTGAACGCCTTAAACACTCGCTTTTGTGCCACTGTGCAACAGTGCACGGCCTCTGTGTTGCCGAACTTCAAGCAAAAAGCGCATCTTTTGAACAGTGCGCAAAGCGCAGCTTGTCCCGCGGCTCAACTCGGGCCATGCCCAGCCGCACACACACACACACACACACAGTCGCGCGTGTTGTGTGTATCTGAAAGATACAAAACAAAAAACAACAACAACAACAACGTACGCTCGTTTGTCTGTCTGTCTGTTTATCTGTCTCTTTGTCTGTCCGCCCGTCCGTCCGCCCGTCCGTCGATCGTCGGCTCTAAACCGCTTTTGTGTATGGCCGCCGAGATGTTTGGCATAGTTGGAAGCGCGGAACTGGTTGGAGCTGCGGCTGAAGATGGAGCTGCGAGCTGCGAGCCGCGCGCTGTAGATGGAGGAGTTTTGCCGCTGCCTTGCAACGCGCCGACGCCGACGCTTGCCGCTCTCAGTTATTATTATTTTTGTTTGTGGCGGCGACTCTGCAGCAACAACAACCCGAACAGTTGTTGTTGTTGTTGTTTATCAACGTGAGGGCTTTAAAAGGTTTTTGTGGCATAGCAGCTGCCTGTGTGCCTCTTGCTTCTCGGCTCTGTACCTCTGGCTAGCTGCCTCTACCTGCAACAGGTAAGAAATTTTCGCTCGCTCGATCGGCATTTCAATGTGTTTCGTTGCTCTTCTCTTTAGGCTGTTTTTATTTTATTTTTTGTTTTTCTATTCAGTTCACTTTTTTTGTTGTTGCTGTTGTGCCTGCTGCTGCTTTCTTTGAAGTTGTTGCATGCTTCGGCGTGCCTTTGGGTTTCTTTTGAATTGTCTCTCTCTCTCTCTCTCTCTCTCTCTCTCTCTCTCTCTCTCTCTCACTGTCCTTTGTCGCTGCAGCATCTGCAAGCAATTAGTGTATTGGGGCTCTTGTGGTATGCCAGGCTACCCGCTTGAGCCTTGGCCAAGGTTTCAAAGTGTTGCCCTGGCATTTAATTGATGCAGTAATTGTAACCCCAGCCGCAAAGCTCCGCGCTACCACCGCTGCAATCAGCTGCAGCTAAACGTTTCCATCGAACTGCCACAAAAAAAACGAAGGTTGATTGATTGATTGATGTGTCGTCCACAACGCGACGTTTTGTTTGTGCAGAAAGGTCGCTTGCAGCTGACGATTGGGGCAGCTTGTATTTATTTACAATTATGATACGCTGCGCTTAGAGTCTCTCAGCTATGCGATCGCCCAATTCACAGAGTTTTCCTGGCTGCAGCTGCCGCTCTTCACCTCGCCCTCGTCCTCTCTCCCTCTCTCTCTCTCGCTGGGCACTTGGTCGGTGCTCTTTGGTTTTTCCATTTTCTATTTATTTTCCGTGCGTCGTTTTCTTTTGATGTTTTGTGAGTTGCTGCTGCTGCTGTTGTTGTTGTTTTGGATTTTCTACGTTCTATTTTTGTGCGCGTCTTTTCTCTTCTTCTTCTTCTCTATCGACCACAAGCGAACGCCGCCCTGTTCTGTATATCTTGCAGATAAAGAACGCAGCGCTCTGTCGATTGCCTACAATTTTTACTTTTCCATTTGCTGTTGTTATTCTCGTTGTGTGTGTGTGTAATTATTGGAAAAGGATGTGGGAGAAGCCCTTGACTGAATGAATCTTCAAATTTATATCTTAGACAGCAGCACACTGAGTGCCACAGCACTAGGTTACAGACAAACAAATACATACATACATATATCTGATCGCATTGCTGCATTCCATAGGCGAAGGGGAAAAACTTTGCTAGACATATGGAAGTCTAACTAATATAGATTGCTAAAATATATATGGCTAGAGCTTGGCCAAATATCTTTTCATCTTAATTAATATTTATAGTGTGTATAAGGCTAGATGGAAATGCATTGATGCTGATCGTTAAGCAAAAAATGTTGGATTTTTACTTAAAATATTTATAAAAATATAGCCACATAAATTAATTGTTTTTCAGCAATTGTTTATAGGGCTATGATAAGTTGCGTTTGTTAGAAATTTTGAATTTATAACTAAATTTAATAAAAATATCAATTCGACAGCTGTATGAAGCCTATGCATATCTGTGCATATAAGATAAATGTATAAGACATGTCTGTATAAGAGTGTACAAGAGCGTATATAGTTTTACATATGTCAAACTTAATGCTTATACCATATAATATAAGATATGATATATGCAGATAAAATAGTGCATTAGAGCTGCGTATAAGACGCAACTGTATAAGAGCATGCTAAAACTTATACAGCTGCATATAATAAGAGAGCTTATACAGCTGCATATTAGACGCAAGTATATAAGAGAAAATTGCAGATTGTATATAAGACATATGTGCCAGTATTAGAGCTTATGCATTTGTATGTATAAGACGTGTATAAGACTAGATAGGAGCTCAGATTTAAGCCGCAAAAATAAGGTAAAATAGGTTTAATGAAATATATATAGACCAAAATGCAAGTGTTTTTAGGATGTCGTAAATTTTAAATGTACTATATAGACATATAGATCTAAATACATGTGTTGCCTAGCATGTTTACAGCTCAGTAACACGAATCTTAAAGTTTCATAGCTATGCAATTTAGGTTTACCTGAGAATTGTTTATAGCCGCCGAGTATTTTGTGCTTCCACCATTTGACAATATTGCCCGCCATCTCTGCTGCTTTATTTATTTATTTTCCTCTGCTTCTTCCACTTTCTTTTTCCTTTTGCAACTACAATTGTTGTTGGTTTATTTGGGTTGAGTTTTGTTTTGTTTTGTTTTGTTCTGCTGGCTATTTACGAGCCTGTGTAGCGACTGTAACTGTAAATGTTGCTTTGGCCAAAATGTTTTACGGCCTTTGTGGGAGGGTTATCCTCGTAGATGCTGCTGCTGCTGCTAAGACTAATACACTTGCTCTCAGGTGCCACAACGCAACGTAGGTGGCGACCTTAATTTGTATCTGGCATTATTTTGGGGGGCTTGGGGTGCTTGGCGTTAAGGTTGGATCGTAAAAGTTTTTACAGCCTTGATATGCTGCATTTTAGTTGAATTTTGCGCATATTGTGCGACCTGTTCCCTCTCGCTCGCACACGCAATTTCGCTATCTGCCCCTCTCTCCCTTGCTCTTACGCTTATTTTTGGCGTGCGTATGTTTTAGGTGTGTGTATCTTGCAGATACTTTTTGACGTAGCGCGCGTAATTTTAATTGTAAATTTTTTGTTGTTGCTGTTTGCGCGACGCGACGTAAATAACTTGGCGAATGAACAACAACGGCAACAACAACGGCCAACAACAATAACTGCAAAATGCTAAAGCGCAAAACACGATTTGTATTTCCAAATGCGAACAGCGACGCTTACTGAGACGGCGACGACGACGGCGACTGCGACAGCGGCGGCAACTTTTTGGGGTGTAACTTTTGTTGTCGTTGTTGTTGTTGTTTATGTGGTTGTTTTTGTTAGCGGGGCGGTTTTGTATTTAACGGCACTTGCTTCTCGCTGCACACACAATGCACACGAAATAAATTTCCAATACTTTTTGTTGTTTAACTCTTCTCGTAAACACTTTCCATACCGGTTTTCATTCACTTGGCACACAAATTTTCAGTCAATTGTTGTGTTTATTTATGATTTGTAAAGGACGCACGTTTGCCCGCGTATTTTCCAGAACAGTCACACAACGCGATACGTATGCGAGTCTTCAGCAGATACACGACCAACTCGATGGGCGTACAGAAACGAACTGAACATGCGAAACACAAAACGTTGCCTTTGGACTTGTACCAAAAGTGGCTTATGTACGAGAGAGAGCGAAAGAAACACAAAAACATTGACGCTCTTCGGCTGTTGTCGTCGCACAGTTAACAGACTTAAGAGCGCAACGCATGGAAACGGAACGGGGCGCTCTGTAGTTTTGTAACAGCAATCATAGCTGTTGGTTGGTGTCATAGAGCAAGCGTAGCTTCGACTGCTGTTAAGCGTTACAAGCATGTAATGTTGATGTTAACACATGCATTAATACAACAGTCAAATGCTCGGAATTAACATTTATTATCTTAAGAGCTTAAGAGTTTCACTTGCTCTTTAATGCTGTGTACCCTGTACCTTAGAAATGTAGTAGTATTGAGTGTAAGATGCCCTATAAACAAAATTATAGGTTTAATAGACCTTTTACTCAAGCTTTCAGTGCGACATTTAACTGCAAGTTTTATGGTCTATGGTCATGTATGTACACACTCTTATATTGGAAATTTGATTAGTTTTTAATTTGAAGGCTCAGCGGTCAGGCTTTCAGTTTTCGGGCTTCTGAGTAGAGCAGCCCTGATGTTGTTGTTAGTATCGCCGCCTGCTGTGCTCGACATCGGGGCAATTACCCAGCAGCAGAAGCCGCCAAAAACTTGCCCCAGCTCCAAGACTCAAAGCCCGACGATAATAACAGAGCAACCAGAATCCTGAATTACGCTGCAAATTCACAAAACAAAAACAAGAAATAAAAACAAATGAGAGGAAAAAAGGGGTTTTGCTTGGCAAGTGGAGAAGCTGCCGTCGTCGGCAACGGCGGCTTTGTGCGTCCAGAGGCCTCAATCCTAAGACCTGGGGCTGCGGCCGCTGCCGACACCGTAAACGTTCCGCATTCGTATAATGGCGCTGTAATTGAAGAAGAACACGCGATCGCAGCGGGACCCGCAAAAGGAGTAGACGCCCTGTCCCGCTTACTCTCTCAGCCTCAGCCTCAGCCTCTCCCTCTCCCACTCTCCCTCTATCTAACTGGCATCAAGCAGCGGAAGGGTTTCTTTGCTGTTGGTTCTTTGGATACGGTTTTGGTTTACTTTCCTGCAGCGCCTTTGTTCTGGCTTCTTTCATCGTCATAATCATCATCATCATCAGTGCTGATTATCATTATGATGCTCATCATCGGCATCATCAATGATCCGTCTTAATTTCATGTAGGTTCTTTGTATAATTTTTGCTGCTACTTCAACCCTCTCCCCCTGCCTCTATCCCTCGCTGTCGCTCCCTCTATCACCTCAGGGCATGCGGGCAATTTTCGATTGTTCCCCTACGCTCATTTAACCTACTACTGCCTTTTGATTGATGTCGGCCCAATGTCTGTCCTGTTGTTGCCCAAGCCCTGCCAGTTATTGATTTATGTTTTATGTGTTCTGTTAAATTTCGCACAATTTTCGCAATGCGTTTGACAACAGTTGATGAACGTTCCGTCCGTCCGTTCGTCTGTCCGTCTGGCCATTTGCTGTCCTCTGTCATATGTCGCTTTTGGACTCAGCCTCTGCAGCCTCACAAATGTAATTACCCAAAACGGGCGCAAAAAGTGGGCGTGTCTGCAGCTGGCTAGGTCATTGCAAGGCACAGAGTTTTAGCACTGCCTCAAACTCTCTATGCCTAGCCATGGCAACTGTCACTCTAATTGACATGGCCTGGACAGGGCCGGGAAGGGTTTCGACTGTCACACATATGCTGCCGTGGATGAGCCACTGAGCGCCTTACTTGTTGATGGCACTTCATTAGGCTAAATGACATTTTATAATTAGTTTTCGAAAGAAAATTTGCTCTGAGCAAAAACGATAAGAATTAACAATTAATTAATTTATATTTTAATAATTTATTATATATATATATATTATATGTGTATATATGTATATATATATTATATGTGTAGTTTAATGTGCATGGAGAGGGATGTATAGATAAGTAGATAATGTAGCGTGGAAGTCAATGAACTGAATTATTTAAAAAGTATATTAAATATGCAAATATTATATAAGCAATACAGACTTTTTGCTCTTGGTCTGAGGATCTTAGTTGAATTAATGGCTTTGAGAATCGCATAGAAAAGCGCTGTTCCGCAGGAAAAAAATGCAACAGAAACAAGAAAGGAGAGAGAGATTAAGTCAAAGTTAAAGCGAGTAAGAAATAAAGCATCATTCAAATTAAAAAAGAGAGAGAGCGCGAGAGAGAGTGAATCAGAGTGAAAGGGTAAACACTAAAGTATGTCAATAATAACAGAGAGGGAGAAAGAGATAGAGAGAGAAAGACAAAGAGTAGCCGAATAAAATGCGTTAAATTATAGCTTAAAAAGAGACAGCAAATTGAGAGCTTTACAAATTTCGGCTATATATTTATTTCAATTCAAAAAAATGATGAAAATCGCATAGAAGAGCGTTGTTCCAAAGAAGTAAAGAGAAGCAAAAAACGTGACAAGAGAGCTACAGAAATTATGTCATAGCCAGAGTAAGTAAAAATAAAGTAAAGCAAAATGACAGAAAAGAAGACTTGGAGAATCGCCTAGAAAGGCGATTTGCAATTAAAAATGTAGCCATGAAGTAAGTTGTTTAGCTTATAAAGTAAGCTCAGACTAAGCCAAAAATAATTCAAGCTATTTCTAAGAACTTCAAATGAAACTGAGGAAGCATCAGAGTCAATAGCTTAATTTAAGAACTTGTCCTGTTTTAATGCGTTGCTTGTTAAAAAAAATATCCCAGCGAACATTAAAATTATTTAGTGTCTACTTTAGCACTATCTACTACAGCCTACTAGAAGATATAGCTCTCAGATGTCGTTTCGAGGCTCTAATGATGCACATTTCTGCTGTTTGATTTTACGATGAGAAGTTTCCAGCGTTCAATTAGTTTTGGAAAACCCTGTAAGCTGTGCGGCTTAAGTATCGAATTAGCTTTTACAGAAAAGGAGAAAAATTAAATATATATTGCCTTCTTTTCAATACTTCGCTGGCTTATCTGGCTGGCATCGTGTTGTATTTTTTTTTTTTTGTTTTTGGCATCGTTAATCTCGCCATAAACTTGGCCAGACGCAATTTTGAAGGGCCTAATCGTTTGATGATAAACCTCTGGACACGAAACTCTCTTGTAACTGGGAATCGTAAAATCAAAGAAAGGCGGCCAAAAATCAGCCCAAAATAAAAAGCTCATAAAATGTGCCAGCAAATCGAATGGCTTCATTTTGTAGACAAGTTTGATGTGAGGCAGTCTCTGTGTGTGTGTGTGTTGTATAGACTTTGAACGATTTCAGCCTAATAAGCAACAATTGGTCGTTGCACACTCGAAGCTAGCAATCGATGGAACAACTCGACGAATAATTTTTATTTTTGTTTTCATTTCATCTCCGCTTGAGTAGGAGTTGCATTTGGTTAAATGCGCGAGGGGCGCGTTTATCAAAATTAATTGGAAATTTTTTCGTTGATATTTAACGACTTCTGCGTAAAAGTCATTTTGGAAAATGAGGCACGGACTTCAAACGGGGCACGAGTTGCACATGTTCAGCCCGAAGAGATCGTCTCTCTCCCTCTCTGCCTCTCTCATGCTTTTTGGATATATTTTGAATGTTTCTTCGGCTCGGCTGTCACTTTAATGGTCTTACAATATAATTTCCTGTCAAGTGCCAGCCGGATGACCCCAAACAGACAATTCATAATTGTTTTTCATCATTTGCTTATAAGCGCCTCCCTCCCCCACCCCCGCTCCGCTCCAGCGACAAGTTCATTTGAATTTTATGACAGCCACATAAATATTTATGAGCAGCACTTACAACAAAGTTAATTTATTTAATAGTTGCACTGTCTACAATGTTTCGGCTCAACATTTTTACGAGTATCAAAAGAAGCATATAATATTTTTTAATGAGCAACGCACACACACACACAGAGTCTGTGGCGCAATCTATATCTATATCTAATTTATGCCCCGCTCATAATTTATTGAAAATATTTTGTGCTTTTTAAGTTTTCTCGCTGTTATTTGTTTAATTTGTTGTTTCATTCGCTCGGCTGCACCCTTCAAAATATATAAATAAAATGCACGAATTGTTGCTCATTGAAAAACTTGAAGAAAAAGAAAATAGAAACAAAAAAAATATTATTGAAATTAACGAGAATTCGTTTGCTTGGCCAGAAAACCAATGAAGTGTGGAGCTGATTGGGAATTTTATTCTGATTTCCAATCGGGCATAAACATTAAATTTGGGAATTGATAATATTTTCAAGGCAATAAACGAATCATTTACGAGCCAAAGAAATATTTACACAAAAGAAATAAAGTTCTTTCTAAATAAATAAAAAGCAATTGATGCGTAAAATAATTATTTATTTATGAGCTGAGATATGAAGAAATGAAAAAATGAATAAATCTCAATCTCAATCTCAATCTCAATCTCTATCTCTATCTCTATCTCTATCTCTATCTCTATCTCTATCTCTATCTCTATCTCTATCTCTATCTCTATCTCTATCTCTATCTCTATCTCTATCTCTATCTCTATCTCTATCTCTATCTCTATCTCTATCTCTATCTCTATCTCTATCTCTATCTCTATCTCTATCTCTATCTCTATCTCTATCTCTATCTCTATCTCTATCTCTATCTCTATCTCTATCTCTATCTCTATCTCTATCTCTATCTCTATCTCTATCTCTATCTCTATCTCTATCTCTATCTCTATCTCTATCTCTATCTCTATCTCTATCTCTATCTCTATCTCTATCTCTATCTCTATCTCTATCTCTATCTCTATCTCTATCTCTATCTCTATCTCTATCTCTATCTCTATCTCTATCTCTATCTCTATCTCTATCTCTATCTCTATCTCTATCTCTATCTCTATCTCTATCTCTATCTCTATC